TGCTCTTTCTCGTTTCATGTTTTTCTTAATAGCTTCATTCAGCATTGGGATGTTTTTCTTCTGTTTCACAAACCATGGGAGACAAAAAGCTGGGAAGAGATGAAAATAAGCTTCTATAATGACATCAATATAGTTTTTTGGTTTTGTTGAGTATTTTTCAAAATCCGTTAAATTAAGAGGAAGTGTTGTTGATGGAAACAACACTGTTTGAAGCTCTTGTATCAACTCGGATATTGTTGGATTTTTGTCGTATGTCGCGTTTATGAGTAAATTAAAATCTTCAAAAGACAAGTCATTGTGGTTTTCAGTGTTGATTAAATTAAACGCCAACACCGACTTGTCATGTTCTGTCAAAGTTGGGTAAGATAACATTTTCGCTGCAAATGTGAAAAACGTTGTTTTTTCTGAGTGACCTTCTTCAAAAACGCGATAAAAAGAGCGTGTGATTTCTTCGTATTGAACATCAAAAAATGTTTTAAAAGACTTATACGTCATCACCTCCTTCTCAATGCTTTTTTCTTTCCAGACAGCTTTTACACGCGTTAAATCTGTTGGTGTGTTACCAGCTACTATTGAAAAGAACATATAAAAATCGATCAGTGTCTGGTTATCCGCCTTTTTGTACAACCCTTTCATTTTACTCTCAGAAAGCCCCATCGACAAAACTGCTTTTTAGTTCTTTCAAATTTTGTAGTTCATCGAATGTTGAGAATCTTTTGTTTGAAAAAAATAGTAGTATTGTTTCGAATAGTTGTTTTACTATTTTTATTTAGTTTACTGTTTTTTGATTGAAAATTCACTTTTAAAATTGTGCGTCAAACTTTTAACAATAATTTTCGATAAAAATAAAAAGAGTATGAACAGTCGTTTATTTTTTGTAAATACAATAAACTCATTTTTCCACAACTTTTTCTGCGTAAGGCTCGTCTGGGTAAAGCATGTCAATAACTTTTTTATACTTACAATAGAGTTTAACCCTTTCTTCATTCTATATGTTATTGTGTTAAAATACTATAAAACTTGTTGAAACAAACCGACATATGGTCTTTGATCACAACGTTAAACTCCTCAGTAGGTGCGTCCTTAACAATAATAAATCGTTTTACTCGCATATAGGACGGAAAAACAGCCATCAAGTCTACTACTCTTTTTCGTAACCACTTCATGTATTCGGTGTTCTTTCGAACATCACCACCACCAAATGCCTTCACCACCTCTGCCTCGTTCACAACAAAAAGCGCACCTGGGCACCTTTTGCCTTCTCCAACAATCAACACATTGTCGACAGTCTGGATTTTTCTAAGCAAATCTTCGATGATTGGGCAGTGTAATATCACTTCATTCCCTGTTACCACACATGGAGAAATCTTTCCAACCGATTGGTACACTTTAACTCCATCCATTACTATCATCTCAACCATCGTGTTGAGTAAAACACCGTTTACGCCCCTCACATCTCCACTAACATATCCCGGTGTTATCGAAGGACCACACACACGCAACTTCCCATTATGAATGGTTGCCATAATACCTTCCAACGTTGGACCTTCTGTATTGTCGTTACCATCAATTTTGCTCATCGTCACAAACCCACATGCTTCTGGTGAACATATACCGGTGACCAATGGAATATTTTGTGTGGACTTTGCGTGGTGTGTTGAAATACAAAGTGCCTTCCGCCCAAGCTTTTTCTGTTTAGCAATTCTGTTGAGCTTTTCAAAAACGCGCGGTGTTGAGAACAATATAGTTGGTTTGTACTTCTCGATCGCCTTTAAATAGAAGACCATCATCTTTCTTGTAGATTCTCTCGAAACAATTGCCACAGTGCATTTAATGTAGAGCGGAATATAGAGAGCAAAGATGCGTTCTAAGTAAAATGAGATGGGGAGGCCATTTAGTACTTTTGTCTTGTTGTTCATTCCGCAGTGTTTTGAGACTTGTTTGATCTGTTCAATGACGTTCCCATGTGTCCAAATGATTCCTTTATACCCACCATGCTTTGATGGGACAAAAACTATTTCCAAAATGCTATCAGTGGTAACTCGACTCACTTTCGTCGAAAATTCGTCATCAGAAATTGATTCCGATCGCATTAAAAAACTTTCCATGGTATACACACATTCATTCTCCGTCTCAACATACACATCCCCTTCTCTGTCATAAAATGTAGGTTCTTCTTTTGGATGGATTTTTTGTACTACTTTTTGTGTGATTTTATAACGGAGTTTGTTGTTAATTGTTGTTTCTCCATGCACAATATAAGGTTCGTAAATATCTTTATAGTCGCCCTCAACATTGACAAGAGTCATATCGGAGTACATATCCCATAATTCTCTAAAACTCAACGAAGTTTGGTCTAATAAACATATTCGCACGTTTGCCTTATTAATCACAAGCTTAACCATGTCCATTGAAGATCCTTCATTCAAATAAACTGCAGACATCCCAGCCATCATCACACCCAATGCGGCGGTCATCGCATGAATCCCATTTTCAAGCATAATAAGAACTCCAACCTGCTTGACATCTACGTCGATGCACAAAAGTGACTTTGCAAAGATTTTGGCGTTTCTGTAAATGTCTTCAAATTTGATTTGAAAGTCATCTTCAATATAAAGAATCTGTTCCTTTGCTTCATTCTCAAAATTTTTTAGAACATCAATAAAGCTACCCGTTGTTAAACTTTTTGTTTCAAATTGGTCTTGTGTCATTCCATCCCAAGTCACATGGTAAACTTCCTTCCTAACAAATGGTGTCTGTGTTGTCAAGAAAAATCTGTCAGTCACGTCATCACTATTTGCATGTGATGTTGACATCCCACTTTGTGCCTTAAGTCCTCGACGTTTTAAACTTTCTTTTACAAAGTCAAACTTCTTTTTTTTCTTTTTTGGAACACTTTGGATTTCAACATGAAGTCCTTTTTGTAATTCTTCGTCAGAGACATCCCCAACAATGTCTTGGTTTTTATCAGTCGCCTTTTCTTGTTCTTTTATAAAGATCATCGATTTCAACATTTTTGTAGTCGATTGCAAAATATTCTTTTTTTCCCCAACTCTGTCGGGACTCTTTTCGGGCGTTTTTTCGGGAATTTTTTCTGTTTTATCTATTACCTTCTCGGGTGTCTTTTCTGGACTTTTATCAGATGTTTTAGGAGTTTTTGGAATATCTTCTTCAACACCCTTTTGTGCATTTAAACTGTCATGTTTGTAACGTGGTGTTCTTTCGGGGATACCATTAACTTTGGGTTCCACTTGTTCTTTTCTTGGGGTTGGGGTGTTAGTTGAACTTTTGTGTTGTATTTGTGGGTCATCGATATTAATTTCTTTTGTTTCGTCGTTCTTTAACAACTTTTCATTAGCATCCACTTTTAAGTTTTGCTCTTTAATTTGTTCAAGCTTCACCTCCTCTTCGTGTTGCTTCACTTTTTGTATTCCCGTTATTTTAAAAAATTCTTCAATACGGCCTTCGACACTCCCTTTTCTGTTGCGTTTCTGACTTTTCAGCTCTTCCTTCTTCTTTTTTTCGCGTTCTTTTTCCTCCTTCTTTTCTTTTTTCTCCTCACGTTTTTTCTCTTTAATCTCTTTCTGTACTTGGTCCTCTTTCTCAGCCTTCTCTTCGTCTTTGCGTTTGAATGGGTTTGGAACGCCAAAGTGATGTTGTGGTTTGATAGGAATCGACATATAAAATTTTACAGTTTGTTGTTTCTTTGAGAATAGTGGAGGTTACTATTTCCGATCTTCTTTTGATTGGCTCTATCAATTAAGCCAATTATTTGTTTCACCACAAATAGAATTTTGCTTTCTTCCCCTTTTATATTAAATAATACATATTATTTGTGGAATATTATAGGACTTTCAAGTTACCAAAGAACACAGGACAATCACTTGTTTTTATTTACAGTTTCCAAAACTTTTACTTTTGATTTCTTAAACCAAAAAAAAGTGACAAATTCCATTTAAATAATTATAAAAAACTATTGTAATATAATAAAGTCCCTATTTTTTCGATGTGAAAAAACTTTCTTTCATTCATTATCCAATATTCAATGATTATCTTTCAATTTTTTGAATAAAAACGACCGTTTTCCTTTTCTGTTTAAAAAAAAACAAATATTTATCTGTAAATCAATAAAAATAGTGAAATATAGTATTAATCAAGTATAATACAGACTTAATTTTATGTTGAAATTAATTAGATATCAAAGTGTTGTGGTTGCGAATGACATCAGTAAGTTGGAACTTTTGTTCTAATGTCATTCAAAACTCAAACAAACCGGTATTATATGTTATTTACAAAACAATTGGTATCAACCCGTTATATTATTGCTCCTCTGCCCTTTGATGCTTAAGACCAAAGAACTCATGGCCAAGGCATTCTTCGACTGAAAACCGTTTCAAAGGGTCGACAACAATCATATTTTCAATCAAGTCCCTGAACTCCTCGGGAAGTGCGTTGTATTCGACATTTTTGTCAATCATTCCATTGATCAAAGCCTTCATATCAGGTTTGCCGTCTTTATCAAATGGCCCTTTCCCAACTGCAATCCTGTAAGCCATTACTCCACAACTCCAAACATCACTTTTAAATGCGTTGTACTTCAACTTTTGTTTGAGCTCCATTGCGCGTTTTACCTTCTCTTTTTGGTCTTTTAATTTATTAATTTCCATCACCTCATTTTTGTAGTAACTTGTGTTCTCCATTCTCTCGACAATTTCAGGCGCAATGTACCCTGGGGTACCACATAACGTAGTAGCGTACTGATCTTTAGAAATATACTTTGCCATCCCAAAATCAGTCAATTTCATATATGTTTTTTCTGCTGTATATAACACGTTATCTGGTTTGATGTCACGGTGAACTGTTTTGTGTTGGTGTAAGTAAAGTAATGCATTTAAGACTTGTACTATAATTTTTTTTACAATGTCGATGTCCAATACTGGTTTCGCTTTAATTATGTCACCAAGAGATCCTCCTCGAGCATACTCCATAATCATGATTATGTAATCATCATATGCAAACACGTCGTACGTTTTAATGATATTGGGATTGTCCAGGCCTAATGTGATTTCGCCTTCGTTCAACAACTTTTTGCGTTTGCATTTTATAATTTTGATAGCACACTCAACCTTTGTCTTTTTGTTTCTTCCATGAAAGACTCTTCCAAACCCGCCAGAGCCAATGTATTTCATTATTTGGTATTTATCGAGAAACTGTTTGCACTGTTCATTATTCTCAACTTCCGTCATGTCCAAATACAAAAAAGAAACAGCTAAAGCGGTTGTTGGGTTCAACAATGTGACCAAGTCGTACATTGCCAGGACAGTCTCCTCGTTATTAGCAATCCGTTGGTTGTTTACCCAAGTCCCGTTCTGTGACTTGTCGACAACAACACACACAACGTCCTTTCCAGTCTGTTTTACATTGACAACTAAATGCGAAGAGCTCACCAAATTAGAAGTGATGTTGAATTGGCCACGGCCAATAGTTGCAGTTTGCTGTGTGAATACTATGGATTGTACACCCTTCGTAATGCTCTGAAATTTGGCCAAGATTTGTTTTTGTGTTGTTTGGCTCATAGCGAGTGGAGTGTGGGTTTCAGAGTTTTATTTTTCAATAATTGAAGTTTAATTCCATTTTTAAAAATTTAAACACAAAATACAACATAATTTTGATTATTTTGACACTTTCAAATTTTTTTTTATTGAATGAAACAACATTTTATTTGAAATAAATACTTATATAATTATAGTTCATAATAAATATTTTTTTTAAACAATTAATTTAATAATTGAGATAATAATCAAATTATTATGGACTGTAGTAATATTAATAATAAAATAACTAGAAAACTATTATTTTAGTGAGTTAATTATTGTATTATTATGTTTGTATTACTAATTTATTAGACATAATATTATAAAATGTAATTAGAGTTAAACACTTGGACAAATAAACTCAATTTGTGTTTAATTCCATGATAAATTTTCAATTTCTAGTGGAATATAAAAAAATAATTATTTTTAAATAAAAATAATTTAATAAAATAATTTAAACAAACCAAACTAATAAAATAACATTCTTATTAATTAAGTAATTTAAAAAAGGTAATGAAATTGTAAAAAAATTATTAAAAAAACACTAAAACAAGAAAATAAAATATACTTGCAAAACTATATGATGCTTTTTTTGAGCATTACTTTACTATTCTATATGTTCCATATTTCGCAAAGTCAAACATGTGATGGGACTGGCTGTGTGAACTGCATCGCAAACAATACATGTGAAAGTTGTGGACCATTATACGAACAAAGCGACAACAGTTGTACTGTTTGCAAATCAGTAAATCCACAAGAACCAATCAGCGCAGCAAACCCACTCATCGTTTTAGAGGATGGTGTGTGTACTGACAAAACAAACCAACTCAGAACAAAATTTGACGACATAGTACCGCTTGTGTTAGAAGGCGCAGAACAAACACATTCTTTCAATTTGGATACTTCGACATACTCAATTGGCCCATGTGACTTTCCATTGAATAAACAGTTGCAATACAGAATGTCAATATGGTTCACTCTAGACCTTTCCACTTCTACAGCAACACTCTACGATTACTACAAATTCATTTTAAAAACGCCACTGCAATCGCCAACCTTGTATATCGACATTACACAATCACCACCTTCGACATCACAGTCGTACGACTTGTTGTGTTATGCAAGACAAACGATAGTACCAGGTGGCGGAGAAGTTGTTCTTCCTTTATTCAACAAAGTGTATTACATTTTCGTGTCAGTGGATCAGGCTGTAAACACCGACTTCACCGTGTCTGTGTCGAAAATCCAAAAACTTGTGTCTTCGGAAATTTTGGGAGGTACATATTTTTCGATCAATCAGACGGTTGTCGATGATTTGATTCAAACTTCGTCGTCCAAGTTGTATGATCTGTCCCTTTCATCAAATGGCATATACATATATCCCATTTGCACACCAACTAAATTATTAAAGGGGGTCTTTTTTTCAGTTAATTTCGATGGTGACCACAGTCTTCTTATTGACACCACCAAGCAAAACAGATACTGTTATTTGATGGAATTTTCAAAAGAAGGCAACGTTGAGAAATGTGTCGATTTTTGGGTTGGAGATTGGTTTGTTTTTTGTTGTCTATTTATCAGTAGTTGTTTACATAAAGGTGGGGTATTTGGACTGATTCCTGGGACCAAGCACTTCGAGTACGGCTTCTTCCAAATAAAGAAAAGACGAGACTGTTTTTCTTGGGAATGTCTGAACACGCAACTGATATTCAAATGAGTGTCGAGATGTTTTGTCCAAACCAATGTCATGAGTCGAGCGGAAATGGTGTGTGTTCCTTGAAGTTAGGGAAGTGTGTTTGTAATGAGAAGTATGGTGCATCTGATTGCAGAAAATTGTGTTACTACAACGGTAATTTTTATAATGACGACACAGAGGTTTCTGGCGATGGGATGTGCATTTTTGGGAGCGTCCATTGCAATGACGACTGCAAATGTGTGGATTCACAAACAATTAGAAATTACTGCGCAACATCGGCTTGCAAATCGAAACAACTTTCATCCGAAGTTTTGTGCCTTTTCGACACAGACAATTGCTTACCAAATTGTGTATGTGCAAAGGGGTATACAAATACACCAAGTGGGTATTGCAAATTGGAGACTTGTGGGGATGGCATAAAACAAAGCAACGAAGAGTGTGATGGTGGAATCCATTGCAACGAAACGTGTGGTTGTGAGTCGGGGTATGAGCCTTTCAGTTCCATTGACAATTTGGGGTGTTACTCCCCACCAGTACCTTGGTGGGCATTTTTGATTATTGCTGTTGTTGTTGTGTTTCTTGTCGTTGTGATTATTATCACCCTCTTCGTGTTGATAAGACAGACAAGACCCAAAAGACCTGATTGGAATGTCTACAAACACCAACAACCAATTTATTACCATGACATCACCCACTCAGTGTTAAAAGAGCCCAGTGTGGAAGCACGTTATGCAGTTGATCCACTTAACTTGGACTATGGCAAAGGAGATTCCCCCACAAAAATACTCGACACTCGATTTGAACAAATTGAAATTAAAAACTTTTCCAAGAACAAGTACATGATGTTCGTAGTACATACTCCAAATAGTCCCAAATATATTTTCCACTTCGACAGCCAAATCACATACTTCAGACCTCGCCAAGTTTGTGTTTCCATTGAAAAAAACGACAAGCAGTTCGAAGAAAAATACTAACCTAAAGGAAATTTGCATCACCAGTTATATGACGCTCCATTGTACAACAAAAATTATGGACATGAAAATCAATTTCACGGTATACTGGTCGAAACACCTCAACACGTTGAAAAAGATTGAGAAGCTATTAAAAGATAAAACAGTGGAGAAGTGGAAAGACTCCGACAAACAACAGATGGATTTGTTAATGAAAGATGTCCCTCGAAAAAACCACTACTTCTTCGAAATCAAGACGATGGCAGAATCTTCAACGTTCATTGACTTGGATGACCTGCAACTTATCGAAGAGCCTCTTTCCCAGGGAATGACGGGAACGGTCTACCTTGGAAAATACAAGAGTAATGCAATTGTGATGAAGACTTTCCAGTGGGAAGACTTGACAGAAACAGAAACAGAAGAACTTAAAAATGACATTACCGAGGAGTGCGAACTTATGAGCAAAATTCGGTGTCCATATATCGCTGGATACATTGGATCAATCACCTATATACCACAGATCTCCATAGTTCTCGACTACTTCTTTTTGGGATCGTTAGAAGATTACATCAGAATAGATAATGAGAGTAGAATAACACTTCCATATCGCCTCAAGGTGCGAATGTTACAAGACACTGCAAGAGGTATTGAGTTGCTTCATTACAACAATGTAGTTCATTTGAATTTGAAACCAAGCAATATGTTGGTCACTTCCTTTTACGCAGACTCAGTAAGTGTAATAAAAATATCTGACTTCGGAAAAATTAAAAGCAGAAAAAAGTTGTTGATAAACGACAAAAGCAACGGTGTAGTATACATCGCCCCAGAGGTTTTTCAGAACAAGTACTCAAACGCGTGTGATTCATATTCTTTTTCTGTTGTTGCATGGGAACTGTTTTACGCTGAGGAACCGTTCAAAGAGATACGAACCGCAGACGAAGTCATTCAAAACGTTCTTAATGGAAATCACCTATTTATGGACTCTTCTATGCCACCGTTGTATCGCGAAATTATTGAGGATTGCTGTTCGGAAAATCCGGAAAAGAGGATCAACTTCACAGAGATTCAGAAGAAGGTAGCTATTCTTTTTGAACAAGCTACAACTCTTGTCGAAATTGAAGGTGGCTCAAACTCGGAAAAACTAGAACAAGTTGTCCATGCCAAGAACGCAAATGCAAACAATCTACTGAGCAAACTCGACCGTGAATAATCGTTATAATACATTTTTGTTTGTTTCTTGGTTCAAAATATCAGATCGACAATATATGACAAATCCATACTCAATGCAGTATTAAAGAAATTTTGTTGTAAATTCTTTAACAATTTTAATGATAATGATTACATATTGACACTACTAATAATTAAACTACTCTATACAATAAAGTAGCTTAATTATTAGTAGAGATATAAACAATACATTAATAGACAAAGGAAGAGACTGTAAATTCAGTTACTCAAAGACACTCCCACCAATAAATTCACGAATAAGCGAAGTCGACCCGATGTAATGATCGTCGATTGGGATGTACATCTCCAAAGTTTCGAGTAAGTTGGACGCCATATTATAATTTGGATCGTTGACTGGAATTGTTCTCAATAACGGGTTCATGTAAGTGTAAAGGGCAGATGGTTCATAATCCATTGATGAATCCCAAATTGTGTCTGCGTTATCAACGTAAGGAAAGATGTACTTCTCCTCCCCCTTTGCAACAACGTACCAACTTTTAAGTGTATGCGACGCACTATAATTTCGAGTCAAAAAGTCTCTAATGATTCTTCTGTAGAATCTGAGGACCTGATTTCCAATGAAGTTGTACTCATCGATGTTAATTTGCGTCAATGGCGCAATAAAGATATAGTACTTCTGGCTTCGTGGGATAGCTGGTGTCAACCCTTCATCGATTCCATGGAGCCCTTCCATAATCACAACGCCATTTGGCGGCAACTTAATGATCTTGTCTTCTAATATTGAATATCTTCCCGAAACAAAGTCGAACACGGATGGGTGTGCTTCTTCTCCTGCAAACAATTTTTTCAAAGTGTCATTCAAGTCGTCCAGTCTTAACGCTTCCAAACATTCAAAGTCATAATTTCCAAACTGATCCTTTGGAGAATCCACTCGATGTTTGTAGTAATCGTCAACACTCAACACCACTGGGATAATTCCTCTTAACTTCAATTGCACTCCAAGTTTCTTTGAAAATGTTGTCTTTCCTGATGCACTTGGCCCAGCAATAGAAATCAACTTGACCCCTTTCTTTATGTGTTCGACAACGTTGTCAGCAATTTTCGCAATTTCCATGTCCTGTCTGTTTTCCATCATCAGAATCATTTCTCTCTCGCCTGAGAGAATTTTTTTGTTCAAATCACCAATACACTCGATTCCCGTTGCTCTCCCTACTTTTTTTGACTTGTCGTAACATTGTGATATCATTTTCGTTTCGATTTTGTCAAGGGTTGTTGGAATAGGCTTTCCGATGAGTGGAAAGAGAAGTAACAACCCATCTTTATTCGACGAAACTTTCAAGTCAAACTCAGTCATTTTGCCAGTAGACCACATGAGTGGGCGTATAAAAAGTGCAAGAAACCCATCGCAATAACTGCACTTGACAACTTCTTTGTTTGTTGTTTGGAGTAAAGAAAGGGTGTATGGGCGGTTGGTTTGTTCAAAGTAGTTGACGGCCTCCGCGTTGGAAAGATTGACTTCTTTGATTTCAATGTTTTTGTTGATAAGCTCCTGCATCCTCATTTTGATTGCCATGCATTCATCGTCAGTAAACTTCTTTCCGTCAAACTTCTTTGCGACGTATCCATTGTTCACGTGGTGATCAATTTGGACACCAAATTTGGTGCCAAATGTCTGATACGCGGCGGTGGCAAAGACCATCACAAGTGTTCTTCTGTAAAGTGACGAACCTTCCAAACTGTCCAAAATAACTGGCGCGATGTTTGCCACACCAACATCAATAGAGTCGACAACTGAGTGTACTTTTCCATTGACCATTATACCTGCCAAATCTTTTCTATCGAGTGTTTTGTGAGAAACCAATTCGCGTAATTTCAATGGACGGTCGTAATTAACTTTGCTTCCATCCATGAAAGTCACTGCAACTTTATCGATGTTTAATTCTGGTACATCGGGGTTGCATAGTGGTGTTGTAGGGCGAAGGAGTGGGGTTGTAAAAGTGGACATTTGTGATTTCTGTTTGTAGTTTTCCAAGTTCTAAATTGTTTTATTTTTAATTCTAAAACTATTAGTATTAAGACTATTACAGTTGGGTAAACAAACTTTAGCCGGGTAATTGTACCTTAGCCCAAACAAAACTATATATATACCATCGTTTTATTAAACAAATTAACTATATAAAAATACAATTAATATGTTTTTTTAGTTAATGATTTCAATATCTAAAAATAAAAGAACTACAATACTGAAATGCAAAGTGTTGAACCAGAAACATTCTTTGATGCAATAAAGAAAACTGTCAAAGAAAACCAAATTGTTAAACCGTTCACTGTTCCCCCAACAAAAACCAAAAGAAAACAAGCAATCTCCAATAATCAAATGATGAAAAATGTCAAATTTCTATATGAAAAAAAATTAATAACAAAAGAAACAAAAGAAAAAGCCGTGAAGTTGGTGAATGATTTACTAGTGGATTCAAACTTGTATCAGTATAAATCAATGATTGAACAAATTAAATATATAAAAAGACAAACGAATCAACCCAATGTTATAATTGGATCTCTTTTTGGAATCCAAAAAGGAGCAGTTTCAATCCATTTAAAACAAGAGACTACAGAACCGAAACATTTTACAAAAATATCAGAAGAAATGGACACCGCAATATCTGCACTTTTTAACTATTGCGAATCAAGACATCTAAGCGTTACTCCAACTTTGATTGATTCTGTCTGCCAGTCCGTTGATTGTATGTTTGAAATGACAAGAAAAGGAATCATATCACACATTAAAAAATACCATGGGTACAATACTAAAATTGCAAAACCCGAAGAAATGGAAAGGGTATTAACAAATTATAAAAATATTTTATTCAATTACATAGCTTTCTCTGATAAATTTAACGGTATATATTCTTCATTACTGTTTAACATTGATGAGATTGATTCAATGAATGGTCCGACAAACATAATGTAACAGTCTTTACTAAAGGAGTTTCCAATGTTAAAGTCGGAATACCCAGAGCTTCGAAGAGAAGTACAATTATAGCTTGCATATCCGCAGATAGTTTGTTTTGTGTTCCAGCAGCAGTTGTACCAAACGTTTTTGTTGATCAGTTGGTTTATGCAAAATACCCATATTTGGATATTTATTCTTCAAAGACTAGATTTGTCAATCGACTCATTTTTAAGAATTGGATGTATAATACAATTTTGCCATATATTGTGAACCGAAGAGCATCTTTGGGATATCAATTTTATGAAATTGTCGTAATTTTAATGGACAATTTCACTGCCCATATTGATGACAACTTACGTCAAATTTTTCTTGATAATTATATATTGTTTCATTTTTTCGAACCACATTCGAGCCATATTTGTCAACCTCTCGACCTTTGTTTATTTGGAGTCGTCAAAAATGTTGTAGTAGTTCAACACCGATATTTAAAAACACGACAAATATAATAGAAACCACAAGATGTGAACAACCAACCAGTGCTTTTGTCTCTTCTAGCCAAATTCGAGAAGTCGAAGGAAGTGGTTTTGGCATTTTTGATTCATTGATTGATGAATGGGTCAAACAATTAGATGATCCACTTGCTAAAAAAGCAACAACACAACAAAGAGCAGAAAGGGGGAGTGTCATTACCGGACATCTCATGAAAGTGATGAGAGTTATCGAAGAAAAAGCAACCAGAAAGAACGTTGAATCTTCTTTTGCGCGAGCTGGTTTCGTTGTTGTTACTGAAGGGTTAAACAATCGAGTATATGTAGACATAAGGTCTGCGAGAATTTTCATGAACACAACAACAGTCAAGCCAACACCCGAAGAATTGGAGAAGTTAACGCCTCCAAAATCAACAACCACACTTGTTAGAGTACGGGAAGTGACCGAAGAAAGTCTAAAGATGTTAGAAGAAACATTAAATACAAATTTACATTAAAATTCAGTATTGGGCATTTCAAACAAACTTTGTGTTGTGCTTAAATGATACCTTCATGTTATAATTCGACTTTTTCTGTGTTTTTTAGTTAATAGTTCAACAAATAAACTTGAGTTTTAAAAATAAATGGGTGGTTTTCCCGTTTTATTACTTGCGGCATATTTTGGGGCTAAGGTTTATTTTCTGAAATAAACGTTTTTTCGATTTTTTGAATTAAAAACCCATGTTTTTAAAGAAAATGACAAGTACTTACCCAGTAAAATTAAAAATAGATGGGCTAAAGTACATTTCCTGGGCTAAGGTTAATTTACCCAACTGTATTTAAGAAATTGACCCAGCTCTTCTTTCTCATTCGTATTTTTTGGAATTCAATTGAGACCAAAAGCTTCAGTTTTGTTATTGAAAGTTTAATTACCAAAATCATGCAGACTAATTCAATAAATTAATAAAATAGTAAACAATAAAATTCCTATTGTTATACAAAGTAAAAAGAAAAGTATTTCTAATCATTAAGTTGTGAACACGTCACACTTGATAGTCATTAAAAATAGGTATAACTTTGTTCCAAAAAAGCCCCAGTTATTCGGGTTGAAATTTGCATTTCTTACTGATAAACAAAAAACAGTGAATCACACAGAACCTCTCCAATACACTACTGCTCATTGTCAACACAACATACACAACCATCGAAACTCACTGCGTAGCACTCCCCTCCAGCGCTTCATGTGATAACACCTCGGGCATTAACCAATATTTTTTAAGTCCAAAATCATACCCAAGTGTTACAACTTGTGTTTGTAAACCAGCCGTTTCTTGAAATATCGGCGCTTTGAATTCTTCTGTTGCAAACGGTGGTACTTCGTATCTTTTCCAGACGTTTTCAATTGCCTTCTCGTGAGGGTGTAAGATCAACACCTCCTTCTCTTTCCCGTCTATTTTGAGTATTTGCCGATTTTCGTCGAGAAGCTCGCTAATTGTTGTGTGAAGATCTTTTGCAATGTCAAGAACTTCCCCGGCTGGTATTGCCTTTCCGCACATCATAACTGCTCCAAAGACCTTTCGTTTCAACGTCATCAGTGCGCGCTTTGTTTTCACTTTCGAAAACACAACTTTGTTTCCACAGACCTCTTGCGCCTTTGTCATCATTAAATTGAACATTGCCGACCGCTCACTTTTTGAGTGATGTCGTTGTTGTTTCTCAGGATTGTTCTTCCCGTCCTTTTCATGAAACATTGCCGCAGGTTTCATACCTTTCTTATTTTCCTCCATTTCAAACATTTCTGTTAACTCCATGACCTCTTTCGATGTCACATTAGTCGGCCCACTAATCTCAGCAACGTCAAAGTATTGCATGGATTTCATCGCAGTTCGTTTTCTTTTATGTATTGTCACACAACACCCACACCAATTCATTAAAGCAATCATAAACGCAACATGCAAAGCAGTTTTTGTGTTTTCTTTTTGTTTAAGTAAGCGATTTGGTGTTGTAGTCGGTTTACTTTGAATTTCCTTTGCTTCACTCGCTTGAGTTTTATTCATTTGTTTTAAATTAATTTAAAGTTCATTCGAATTTTCATAGATTTGAATTATGTTTTAAAATATCTCTCTCTTATACTACAATCAAATAGTTAAATTACCATAAAACAAATGCAAAGTTGTATTTGTGTGGAGAGTTTTTTCTTTTCAAAACTCATTTATTTTTCTGAATTTTGTTTGTATATATTTTTATACCATTTTCGATAATTCTTTTTTTTCAACTCGTTTTTATATTTATTAAACTTCATACCTTTTCATATTTGATTTAAAATTTTTTTCAAATTTCTTTAACACTTCAAATAATCTTGAACAAAATTCAAGTGGTCCAAAAATCGGGAAATCTCAAGTTTATTAAATAATCTTCCAGTTTTTTAAAGTTTATTTTATGTGAAAATAGTACACAGACAAAAAAGGGAAAATCATCAAAAAATGGATTAATAGCCCTGTAAAAACAGTTCAAATAAAAAACAAGGGCGTTTATTTAAGTTATAATTATTTTCTATTTTTTTATTATAAAAATATAATTTAATTTTAATTCTTGTAAATCAAAAAATGAAAGAAAAGGTGGCATGTATTTTCAATTGCAAAACTGAAAAAGCTCACTCCCCTTTTTCAATATGACAAGTTCCTCATCGTTCGGAACAACACATATTTTCATTCGGCTTTTCTCCGTCGATATAAACTCTATTTCCTTTCCTCTTGACTTCTCATTTTTCTCCGAGTCAAGTTCCACCCCAAGAAACTCCAACTTATTACAAACAGCTTTTCTCACCTCTGGCACTTCGAGCCCAACTTGGTCAGTAAATACTAACATGTCAAGCCCCCCAATTTCAACCATCAACCCTCCTATAGTCTTTGTAAGCTGATTGATATACAAGTCGAAAGCCAAGGCGCACTTTTCCGCCTTTTGTCCATTTTCTTTGATTTCTTTCAGTAAGTCTCTGATATCACATGAAGTCTCGGAAACACCAAAAAGCCCACTTCTTTTGTTTAGTAAATCGACCGTTTTTTGAATCCCAATTTGTTCGACAATGTTAATTGGTATCGACGGATCTATGTCTCCGCAACGAGTTGACATGACCAATCCAGCAAGTGTTGAATTGCCCATTGATGTATCATACGACTTTCCATTTAAAATAGCACAACAGCTCGATCCACCAGTCCCAAGGTGGCACGCTACAATTTTGAGTTTGTCAACGTCCATTCTCTCTTTCAGTGAAGTCAACACAAATTCGTACGACAAGCCATGAAACCCAAATTTGAGATATTGACTTTGAAATGGTTCTGGAATTGCGTAAGTTCTCTGTGTCTTATTGATTGTTGAGTGGAAGGCAGTGTCAATCGCAACGTACTGCTTTGTGTTGGGTAGTTCGGTCAGAGCAACTTCAATTACAGAGTAGCTTGCAGGGTTGTGTATTGGTGCTAATGGTATGCAACTTTTTAACTCCTTTAACACGGGACCTTCAATCACAGCAGAAGTCTTGAAATAAGACCCGCCGTGTACAAATCTGTGACCAACAATATCAATAGTAAATTTGTTCTCTTTCAAAAATTTAATGATGAGTCGAGCAGCTTCTTGATGGTTAAGAGGGCCGGTCTCTATTGTAATTGTTTTTCCGTTGATGTGGTGCTCGATGAAAGGGAGTTCAGCACCAGTAACATTCACTCTGTTGGCTTTCCCTTTAATAATTTCTTTTGTATTTTCAAACAATTTATACGTGAGAGAGGAACTTCCGACATTAAATACTAAGATATGTGGCATTTACTAATTTTTATTTTAAAGTTTGTTTAAACTAGTTAACGTAGGAATGACTGTACAGTAACTAGTCTCCACATCACTTCCTATTTTGGTAAACAGTCTTCAAAGAAGATACATATTAATACCATTAATTGTACAGATAATAAGGAAAACTAAATGGACCTACATTATAATACTTATAATCAATCATTTGTCGACTTTGAGTATGACAAAAGAGCACTTAAGATCACTGGAGACTCTCATCATGGCACCCGAGTTGTCCATGGAATTACAGTAAACCGGCGAGCTAAAGAGCGTCACCAACTTCTTATTAAATTTGAATTGATATCCATCGACTGCTTCGTGCCCACGACATATCAACTCCAAGTTATTTTTCCTCATAAAGTCTTCACATACATCTTCGCCAAAAAAGACTGACATCCCTCTCACAGTGTTTGGTTTCCACCCGGACATCGCTCCAGGATCTGCCCATAACAAGTCGCACACCGTCCCTCCGCACGGTATTTGTAATGGTCGAATGATCTTCTCAACGTCAGGCAGTCGTAAGTCGGGGGAGATCCCACCATGCACACAAAATATGCGTTTCTCAATGATTGCAAGTATCGGTAGATATGCAAACGTTTCATTGAACAATTTCCAAATACTCTCGTCGTATACTCTCACACCTATTTATTAATTTGTTTCGATTTCTTTAACATGTAATGAATGTATTAATTATTATTAAATAATTATTAAATAATTATTAAATAATAAAATAATAACAAACATTCATCATAGAATCCAAACACTCGGTTGATCTCCACCGATTCGTGGTTCCCTCGTATTAAAAAGTATTGTTTTGGATATCTTAGCTTTAGAGCATAGACCAAACAAAGGACTTCCAAGCTGTGAAAACCTCTGTCAACAAAATCGCCAAGAAACAAAAAGCTCTCCGTTTTGTAATTTGTTGCCTTTAAAAACCTGACCAAATCAGTGTACTGCCCATGGAGGTCACCAATCACGTTTATTGGGGCCTTAAGTTCCATTAGTGTTTTGTCCTCCATTATCACCTCTTTAAACTGAGCACAGAGCTGCTCCACTTCATTCTTTGGCACGATACATTGTGGGGGGAAAGTGTCCATGACTTGCATGAGTTTGTCTATAATGTCATCAAGGTGGGACGGGTCCATTCACTATTATTTCGAGTTGTTCACTCCTTTTTCTTTTTTATTTTTTTAATTATTTTATTAACTTTGAATTAAAAAAAACAAATTTGTTTATAACATTGAGTCTCTTGTTTTTTTTACTCAATTTTTAGGGTAACTATATTTCTTGTAAGCAATTAAGTAAATCAAAAATTTTTTAAAAAGTTATAAAAATTTAATTTTTATTGTTAGTTTCTTTTATTATTAAAAAAATGCATTTTTTTAGAAAATGAACTAGTTAAAATGGTTAAAAAAAAACAAATTAAAACATTTTGGAAATTATTTTAATTTTTTTATTATTTTAATCATTTTACCCCGGACCTACATTGACCACCACCACCACCTCTTAAAATAGATTTATTTTTTCTATTTCGAATCATATTCAAATTAAAATTATAGTAAATAGGAAACTGGGATAATATTAGGTCTGGTTCCCGAATTCAAAAAATGCCGAAAAATCACCTCGAGTCAGTGGAAACCGAGAAAGACGGAGCATTGAAAAGAAGGCTCATCAAGACACACTCAAACAGTCTGTTTGTGCACCGTTTCACCCACTTTCCAAGTCCTCCCTTGGCGCGGATCCCCCCTGACCCCCCCGCAAGCGGGGGGGAACCACATCCGCGTCCACACAGTACGGACAAGGAAAGTGGGTGACATGGGGACGCACAAACAGTAGCTGAAAAGTGGATTCCCTTCAAAAAACACTCGCGGCAAATATTTTTTTTTGGTAAAGGTGGTGGTGGTGGTCAATGTAGGTCCCCATTTTACCCTACAAAAATTTTTTAATTACTAATATTATATCTATATATTATAAATTAATTATAAACAAATAACATTAATTAACAATAACAAAACTATACTGAACTCTTTTGATTAAAAAAAAATAATAATTTTAGAGAATGTTTATTTAGTTATTATAAGATTAAATTTTATTCAAATAGTAATTATTTTATACTTGTATTATTATTACAATTAATAAACAATTGTTTTATAAATAGAAACAACAAAATTGTTAGATTTTTTAATATAAAAAAAGAAAAAAGAACAACAAAGAAAATCAATTTTGTTCTTGAGTTTCTTTTCTCCGAGGCAAAGGTGGCTTCTCTTTAGTTGCGGGGGCACCAAACATTTTTCTTGTTTCTTCAAAGTTGGATGCTGTTCTTTGGTTTGTTCTGATATATGGACCTCCTGCTGGTTGTGATTTTGGTGTTTGTGACATGCTCACATGTGTTGACGAAAAAGACAACGTTCTCTCGGCGACTTTTAAAGGTGATACTGTCTGACTTGATTTTCTTTCGACTTTTTGTGAGCCACTAGGTGGCATTGGTGCTTTAAAGTTTGGTCTTTTTGGGAGGGTGGGAGGTTTTGGTTTACTGAATGCTGGTGTTGTTGGTGGTGCGTCGACTTTAACATCGCATTTACATGAGTTGTCAGACGACTCCTCTTGGAGTTGGAAATTTGGAGTGACTGGGCTTTGTATGGAAACAGAGCCAGACGACTCCTCTACAATGTCCTTTTTAGTCGTTAAGCAGATTCGGGGGGAGACTTGGCTCGGTTGCACCTCCTCTTGTTTTTCTTCACAAGACTTTCCTTCCTCCACTGTTGTAAATTGTTTAATTGGAGAGCTTCGAAGGCGAGGCGACAATGAGACACTCCGGAATTTTGAGGAATCAGTTTCGAAGTTCGTTATGCTTTTGTCTGTATATGGCAAGTTCGGTGATTTGGCTTTTTCTTGCAGTGTAGCAATATTCGGTGCTTCTTCGTTTTGGAGTGTCCCTGTGCGGTTTTTGCCGATTTTGAGTTTTCTTTCCTTTGAATGTCTCAACGTCATGGTGTCAATTTTTTTGAATGGTTTTCTTGTTGGGTTCTTCTCGAGTGTAAAATGTGAATTTTTGTGGAGGAGCAATTTTGCTTGTGGTGTGTTGTTTGAAAAACTTTCTTTAATATCATCGATGTGTTTGTTTCTGACTTCCTCGTCCATAATAGGGTTCAATGTGTAGTTGTGTATCATTTCTGTAAAAGTGGTTTGTGGTATTTCCAGAGCTGGAAGTGATGGGTAGAGCAAGACCAAAATGTTGAATATTGATTCGGCGACATCATCCTCCACCAATTCGACAAAAAGCAATTTTGCAAACGTCTTGAGTGCTGGAAGTTTCGATGGATTTGGTAAAAGCCAAACAACAAACAACTCCATGATTGTGTTGAGTAGACCTCTCATCGATGGAGCACTTGTTTTGTACAAATTGATCACTGTGCTTTTTTGTTCTTCTGGATTCATCTTATTAAAATCAGCTAACTTATCAATGTCATCGATAGGTAACAGTGGGATGTTAAGAGAATACAAATACAAGAAAAAGATAGTGGATAGTGTCTGGTATGGGAGTGAAGACAAAACAACTTCTCCGCCACTCTCGACCTTTTCTATAACACAAAGAGCGTCCTCCGTGGCTTCGTGTTCAAAGAACTTTTCATCGAAGAAATTGTCTTTAAAGTAAAGCGCTGTCACAAGCTCCTCGACAAATTTTGGGATGTGATATGCACTACTTTGAACAACAAACTCGGGGTTTATTCCAAAGATTTGGTATTTATTGAATTTTGGGTGTGACATGTGCAAGTGGAAAATGAACTCTTGGATGTGTTCGATGTTATAGTCGTCACCAATGAATTTAATTTCAATTTTTGGATTTCTTTTTGCAAATGAAGTGGTGCTCTCAATAATTTCATACGGATAGTCGTATTGCACTTTCATCACAAAGTTGGGAATATTGACTATCAACGAGACTTGAACAAAATCAAGTGGGAAACAATATTGGAATATTCTGTTCTTGTAAATGAGCATAAATTGGTCAACAGTTAAAAGTGAATAGACGTCTTTTTGTTCGCTTTCTGCTTGCTCCAAGAGTGTCACGTCGATCTTTTTGAAATTCCAGAATGACTTAAATCTGAGTTCGTCGACATCCAAATTGGAGAAGTAAAGCGGAAGCGAGTCAATGTTGACCAAAAAGAGGATTTCCTCTTTGTTCCAATTATATTCGTTGAGTGAATATTGTACACACAAAAATCCATTAACGAGGTAATCACTTGAGATTCTCATTGGGACAAACGTGAATGGTTTCAGTAAGTATGTGTGGATGATTGGGAATTGTTGGTAAAGTGGCTTGTGCATGTCAAGTGGTATTTGGCAATTCACGTAGACTCCTGAAAGCTCAAAGACGCAGTTAATGTACTTCACGTTTGACAGTACTGTTGCAAAAGAGATGGTTTTGAATGTGTGTTCATAAAAGATATCATCCGTTATTTTTCCTGCATCGTAGACTTCGTTTGGTTGGTTCTCCAAAAAGAAGAAAAAGATTTTCTTCTTCTCAAAATCGATTTCCTTCCCGATGACATCGTTGAATATTTTACCAATCGCGACTTTGTTCTTCATTGGAAGAAACCTTCGTATAGTACATTCATTAGGGAGTACAACCGATAAAAGTACTTTTCCCTCTCCGCCTTCTGGGGTTAAAATTTCAGTGGTGATGCAGTCAGTCACTTCGAGTTGCTTCGACAAGTTGTACTGAATTGAGTCGTTGTTTGCTTTCTTCTCTGTGTGTGGTCCTTTCTGGATATTTTCCACTATGAATTTTTGGTACTCTTCTGATACTAAGATTGTGCTTTTGTATGACACTTGTTTCATTCTGTGGACATCAATAACTATCCCACTCAATTTTCTGCATTTCGCAAAATTGACGGTGGAGTCTGATGTTATTGTTTTATTGCCATCCGTTGTAAAAAGCAAATCACTGAGTATCAGTCCCAAGTAAGGGACAACGGCTCCAGTTGCAGACTCTACTGTTGTTCGGAGATTTTTCCAGTTGTTTTCCATCGACGTTGCCTTCTTTGCAATTTCATAAAACATTACAACATCTTTATTAATGCTTTTGTATGTTCGTTTCAAACGATGAAGTGCGGAAGTCTCAAACAATGAAACTATACAAACAACGGTGTCAAAGTTGTTTAACAAAAAGCAGTGCTTGTTATTAATACATACAATTCACTAAGTCATAATTTCCTCAAATACTATAAACAAACGTAAGCGATCATGTACAACTTCGACACAATTTGTGCTCTTCTTGGGAGTGATGATTCATTCAAAATCATATCTGCAAAATACGCCTGAAATGCGTTATAAAAATTCGTCATTTCGGTGATGTTAAAACACTCTGTTTTTGTCGAGTTTGATGTCGACTTAAGAAACTCAATCAACTTGATTTTTCTAAAGAGTTCTGATGTGAACACTGTGATTTGTTTTGCAAATTCTTTTGGTGGAAAATCCATAACATCGACATTTCTTTTCAATTTAAAAACCGAATGTAATGATTGTATAACTGGTGGGATAGTGTCTTTCATTATTTGAATGAGTGCAACGGCATTACCATTGAGTGCTCTATCGACAACATCTGTGATTAGGAGTGCTTGTTTTTTCATACCGTATTTTCTAAGTAATGATGCAAATGAAATTGTTTGTTCGACAATTGGCATGCTTTGGTTAATGTTCATTTGCCATGTATACTCAACCCAGTATTTCACACCATTAATAATCCGTGCTTTGATTTGTTGGGAAAGAATCCCATCGTTACAACAACACTTCTCAAACCGGTCTTTAAACTTTTCAAGCATCTCGTTTGATGTGATAAATGATGAGTGCGTCCACACAAAAGCGCGCATGATATCACTGTCTTCCATACATGCACAATTGATCAAGGAATCAACACACCCACTCATCACCGCATTATTTTCTCTAACAACATTTGCTTTGAAATATGTCGCAAAAACTTCATCGACGATGTTGTTACAGAAAAATGGTGAACTCTCCGTCTTCTTGATTTTGATCAATTTACTTTTTTCTTCTTCTGTTGAGTTTAAGTCGTCCAGCTCGAGCGATTTTCCGTCATCGTCCGGTCTTAAATAAATGACCGGAACTTCCTTCAGCTTGATATTAGTTAACGTTCGTGTCAATTCAATTTGAAGACGTTGTGTTGTCAGAAAACTTTTAGGAGACTGGAGGAAATGGGTAAGTGGAGATTCTTTAACAACTGATTTGGAGTCAGATGAGTGCTTTGTATATCCCCCAAATACTCGTGTTATAATGGATTGTTGTTTATGTGTTTGGTGAATGTGTTCCATCTTGGAATTTGGAGTAAGGATTTACAGTCCGAAAGATGATTTGATGACTTCCTTTTCGTCTTCTTTTAAAATCTTGTTGTTAAATTATTAATAATGGAAAAGACGACAAAACTATACCATCCATTAATAATACAATTTTACTATATATATAGTATATCATGAATCCTTAAAATTATGATAAAGTATTAATAATAGTTTTTATTTACTACCAATGACTAAACGACTGGTTTACTCTTTTTATATATTTTTTGACTCTTTCATACTTTTTTTGGTGTTATTCAAGAAATGGGTGAAAGAACTTAAAAAACAAATATTTTGTGATGATCAGTATCGCGTTGAGCGGAGACGCATTCGTTGGAAAAACATGCTTTTTTAAGCGATTTTCGGTTGGACAGTTTGAGGAAAACACATCGTCATCAATTGGGTGTGATGTGACGTGCAAAAAGTTGATATTAGAGGGGAAGAGTTATAATGTGCAACTCGTTTGTTATTACTTATTATTATTTACAAATACAAACACTTTTAACACTATAGTGGGACACAGCTGGGCAAGAAATATTCAGAAGTACAACTGCAACATATTTTCGCAACAGAAGCTGTGTGTTGTTTATGTTCGATTTGACAAGTTCTGAAACGTTGTCACATGTTGAGGATTGGCTAAAAACATTCTACGAAATTAACAACGAAAACACGCCAACACTTCTAGTATTAATTGGTACTAAATGCGACTTGGTTGCAGAAAGAGTTGTGACTGAAGACCAAGCAAAGGAATTTGCAAAAACGCACTCTATACCATATTTCGAGTGCTCTTCAAGACTGTTTGTTTTTTTAATGAACACCTTTTGTATTTAAACTTCATGTGTGATTAAACTTAGTATCTAGAAACATCAACATCGACACAATCATCCATTTCGTCCTCAAAAATTTAAGGAATCCCCCACAACTACAGCAACAAACCAAAAAGGAAGAGGAACCTGTTATACTTCACGTCAATGTACCAGACTCTGAAGAGTCACAGAATGATGGAATGTGTTGTTGAATCGATTATTATTTCGCTTCCTTTTTTCTTCCATTTTTTTCAACTTTTGAACACTTTTAACTGTGTTGACAAATCTGAATTAATGATGTCCACAACAAATCTTAACAAGATCAAATTTGTCTTTTTGTATTTAAGCAGTTGCTCTGTATTTTTGACTTACATCGTAATCAAAATATTCTTTTTTTTTGCAATAATTGGATTCGATAGATTGAAGATTTTTGTATTTGATTTTGATAAGATTTGAACCAATGTTTAATTGATTTCTAATCCAATGAAAGTCCTTTGTATTTTCTTTACACACCTTTTCCCCTCCTATAAATAGTATAATAAATAACTAAACAACTTCAAGACCATTAAAACATCGATGATTGTTCGAGAAAAAGGGTATTCCAAACAATAATATCAAACACAAGAACATGTCAGTAGAACCCACATGTACAACACATGACGATTTCAAAAAGGAAGCAGCCGCGATGAGAGAGTGGTTCACCAATGAAATGAAACTCGAATGGACTCCCATAGCATACAACAACCCAGACGTCAAATTATATGAACTCCCAATGAGAGGGTATAGTCACAGAACAAGATGCAGAGTCCACTGCAACTCAACTTACGAACAGATGCTCAAATTCAATATGGACACGACTTTGGAAGAACTCAAAAAGTACGACAAGTCGATGCTCAATTACGAGATCTTCGACAAAGTTGATGACACATCTATTATCATTACTCACACCGCATTTTCCGTCACTTGGCCAGTCACTGCCCGTCAGTTTGTCTCCCTTCATGACAATTATGACGTCGACAATGGACACGTCTTCATTCAGACTTCCATCAAAAACGACAAGGTCAAGTCAAACCCAAAGTATGTGACTGCCTTCAAAAAGTCTGGTCTCTTTATTGAGAAAGACAAAGAAGATGACAAGAAGTGTTACATTGAGAGAATCATTGAGATGGATCCACGAGGAAGTATCCCAACTTTCATTACTTCTTCTTACAAAACAAATGACGCTGAAAGACTTCTTGAGATGCGAGCGTACGTCGATCAAAAGGTCAAAAAGGGTGAGTTATAATAGTTTAATTATAACTTTTTAATGTAATTTTCTAATTATTTTCACATCAAATAACAGCACAAGAATTGATGAAAACTGAATTATTTCTATAACTTAGTTGAACACTCTTCCCCCTCCTATTTTGATAACAACGTCACTTTTGATGACTAACGGTTGGAACACTTCCTCAGTATTGATATCAAACAATTTGTTCTTTTCTTCATAGGAGTCAGCAATGAGATACGATATCAATTCAGTCATGTTGTAAAACACACATAGAGCTTCTAAAACTTTGGCGTTTGAAAAGAAAGCTTCTCTATGGTGTTGTGCAGCATATACCAACCCATCGTACATCCATTGTCTCCACCCTTGCTTAGTGTCCATAATAAG